CTCGCCAGAGTCCTTAGGCCTTGCCCGTCCGTCTCGACCCACGCCATCCTGACACCGCTGGGGAGAAAGGGCATCTCTGCCTCCGTCAGGCGGCCCTCGAAACCTGTGGAAATATTTCTCAACAACAGTATTATATATATCATTGATATTTCATCTCATATATATATTATATTTATATTTTTTCATCATCACCAACATCATGATTTCATTATGATCTCATTATCACGTCCTGCCTATCACTCATGCACCGCAGGTCTTACAGAGAAACCGCAGCTTTTTCAGACGCGGGAGCCTCCTCGCCAGCGCCTTCAGTCCCTCTCCGTCGGTCGTGACCCTCAGTTCCTCAAGCATAGTGGGAAGGAGGGGCATCTCAGCTGCTGTCAGGCGCCCACCGAAATCTGTCATTTACACTGCATCTTGTTGTCACTATAATTATTATCTGTATACCGACGTTGTTGATATTACAATAGTCTTTATAACTGATTTGATTACTATTACCATCATTACTTATCTTTTGCTGCCATTATCATCTATAAAATTTACCACTATTATCATCGCCATTCTCAAAAACCATACCTAGAGTCTGAAGATTCGGCAGGTAAGGGAGCCTTGCCTGCAGAGCGCGCATCCCTTCTACGTCAGACCTGGTTATGAGCTCCTCCAGGCTCTCCGGCAGAAGCTGCATTCCCTTTTCTGATAAGAAACCTTCGAACCTCGTCAGTCGGGAACGACTTCCTGGATCTGTGGCCGCCTCAAGGCACAACTCAGAAAACTCTGCAGACTGCTTCAATAAACACTTCAGCTCTATCTCGACGTCCTTTCTGGCCAAATCTCTCATCGCAGACAGGACCTTACTTGACGGGAGTTTCGGCGTGTCGCGGAGGGTATGAACGCGCACACAGCGAGTCTTGAGGTGGTCCAGTATGGGTAACAAACCGGGCAGAGAGGTTTCCTTAACGTCAAGGCTTTCAACTTCGCTCAGTACCCTAGCACTTGCCTTCACTATACCTGCATGCTGTCCTGATGCCATGACCATTTGGTAATATCTCTGGCTTCTATTTGCAGTCTCTATATAATTATTGTTACCATATAAGACGAGGCTGATGATGGCTGTGGCGACTTTATCCAGAAGGTTTTGCTGTGACAAGGATAATGTGCGTGTCATGTCAGCGAGGACTTCCATTAATACATCCGACTTTGGTTTTGTTGTCGCCGAATATGCCAGTTGCCTTGCCTCATTGGCATCTTCTGAATAGATTTCAAGAATGGGATTTTCAGAAAACTCTAATTCTATGTTATTCATACGATTGAAATGCGATGCGTAATTCTTATCACTAAAATTAGGTAGACAGGGTGAATCCAGCAAACCTGTCAAGTCTGGCAGAGAATGAGACATCCTTAATAGCTGTGTAACTACATAACCAGCGGCCCAGTGTTCTTGGAATCGGTTGTGTGGGAAGGACCAAATGGAAAAGATAAAAAGACCTTCTCGCGATTTCTTAGACACAAGAAAGCCTGAAAACATTTCCTTGTAGGGTAAGTTCAGTGCAGAGCACTTTTCCTTTAAATCCTCTACTGTTTCGCTCAGTAAGTCGTGTTCTCGTCTCTTCAGACCTCTGAGAGCCACTTTCTTTTGAAATTCATGATACTCTTTAACTTTATCGTCAGCATCATCGATGCCTTTCACTATCAATCTCTCTTCAACCTTGCCTATCATGAGCCTTGTCAAATCTTCAAAGACGTCCTGTGAACTCTGGTCTGGTGCCACGACCTCTCGGATGATCAGTAGGATCAGAGTGAGTGGGACATCAAGTCCATCCTTCTCAAAGTCCATGTTTTCAAGAATTGTCACTATTTTGTCTTTCAAGTTGGTTATAAGGATAGGACACTGTACAAACGCACACAGACTGTTTTCAATAAAGTACGGTCGGTCTTCTCTGCGTATTCCTTTGATTTCAACATTCATTACATTCGTCTTGCTCCTCATGATTTGAGTTAGCTCTTTTGCACAGCCTGGTCTCGTGGTTATCACAATGCGCACGTTGCCACGAATGTTCAGAAGATCGGTTATCAATTTCTTAGCCTTCTTGCTCACTTCGTCATAACCGTCTAACAGGATAACAACTTGCATTGTCTGGAATAAACCTGCAAAGATATCAGTGGTAAGTCCAGATCCCTGAAATGTGTTATGAAGGAGATGCTTCAGCAGGTCACTCCAACTGCTGATTGTGCAGCCTCGCAGCTGTAGGTAAAGCAGCGGAGAAACGTCTTGAAGCCCCTCAATTTGCAAAGGATCTCTCACCCACATCTCCAGCATGTGCTTCAGCAGCGTGGTCTTCCCTATTCCTCCTTCGCCTGATATTATGATCACTTCAGGCAGGCGACCATTTCGCTGCTTAACCTGCAGCAGATTCTCGTGGGAAATGTTGCAAGGCTGATACTTCTGCTCCTGAGATGGTGACAGAGTGGACGTGTCTTCCACGATTACAAGGTTGGTGAAATTTAGACTAGGTTGGATTTTCAGATCAGGATACAGCCACTGAGCGAGAGTCACGTCCCACAGCTGAGGGTAGAAATCAAACAACTCTCGTCGACTCTCCTGCTCCACGTTCTGCCGAAGTATATCCTGAAATATTCTAATTTCTTGCTGTAGTTGCGGCAGTTCGTTCAGGTCAGTAGCTTGGAGGGGCTCTCTGACTTTCCGCAGGAGGTCCCGAAAATCCTGTTTGATTCCCCAGATCTCGTCCCGAAAGATGTGGGGTCGGATCCCGCGTCGGTTCCCGGCCAGTCGAAGGATCCTGGAGAATAAGCAGCCGAGCTTCCTCAATTCCTTCGTCAGCCTTTGGTCCGACATCTGCTGCACGTCATTCGTGTGTGCTATGTTGTTCCTCTTCTGCTTAACCTTATACAGGAGGTGCTCTAGAGGCTGACCTGCCGGGGGGGAGGTCCAGGCAGGGTCATTGGAACCAGCCAGTCCACACATGAGTTGGAGAATGATATAGAGCAGGGAGATGTCGTACTGCTTAAACGGGGCACCGTTCTCTAGCAGATTTCTCTGTTCGCTGTTAAACTTCCGCTTGTAGTCTGTTCTCGCGTTTCCCAAACTAAGGAAATGACTCTTGACACACGGCCCCCCTTGGTACAGCCACTCAACCACCTGCACAAATACCTCGCGGCCCTTGGTGATCATAGCCACCTGGTACCGGAAGCCATTCACCGTGTGCCTTGTGAGCTGGGTAAGGGCGCGGGGGGGTCGCTGCGGGGCTGCCATCCTCCCTGAATCTCCAGGACCATTTCGGCCTCCGCTTGCCCTGCCCTGTGTCCTGCGTAGGCGAGAAGACAGCTGATTCTGCGCCGGAGATGATGAATGCCTTTATCAGCCCATCAACGATTTATTTGACTGCTCTTCCTTATTCCTTTATTCTTTAGAGTATTCCTTTATCTGAAAAAGAACAATAACGTCAAACGTGGAATACATAGGGAAACTTAAGTGAAATGCAAATTAATTTTCTTGGCATTCATCTAGTATCCAAAGGTCGCATGCTTGTATTAATATAAATATGTGTGTATATATCTATATGTATACGTATTTATATAAATATATATATATATATATATATATATATATATATATATATATATATATATATATATATATATAAATGTACTGTACATATACATATATATGAATATATGTAGGTATGTATATACACAAATACACACACTCACACACGTCCGTGTTTATATCTATATCTATACATTATATATATAGATAGATAGGTAGACAGAAAGACACGCACGCACGCACTAACACGTGCGCGAACAGACACACATACGCACTTACACACACGTGCGCGAGCACACACACATATATGAATGTGCATATATACATACATATATATGTAAACCCATATATATGTGCATATATACATACATATATATGTATATCTATATATACATGTATATACATATATGTGTGTATATATATATATATATATATGTGTGTGTGTGTGTGTGTGTGTGTGTGTGTGTGTGTGTGTGTGTGTGTGTGTGTGTGTGTGTGTGTGTAGTGTATGTGTGTATGTATGTGTGTGTGTGTGTGTGTGTGTGTGTGTGTGTGTGTGTGTGTGTGTGTGTGTGTGTGTGTGTGTGTGTGTGTGTAGGTGTGTGTGCATATATACCTACATATATATGTATATGCATATATACATGCATATCTATAGATACATATATATACGCACACACACACACACATATATGTATTTATATACTTGTATCTACATATGTATATATATATATATACATGCATATATATACCCCACACACATACACACACATTTATGTGTGTATTTATGTATATAGATGTATGGATATATATATATATATATATATATATATATATATATATATATATATATACATATATATATATATATATATATACATATATATATATATATATATATATATATATATATATATATATATATATATATATATATATTATCATCCTCATCATCAGCCTGAGATGTAGGCTTCTCCCAATATTTTCCAATTTTGTCTGTCTTGCATTTTTTGTTTCCGGTCTTGGCCCCCAAATTTCGTTATTTCGTCACGCAATCTTGTCATTAGTTCAGCCCTTGGTCTCTTTATGTTATCTATAACCAAATCTGTTACCATCTTTGTCAATCTGTTGTCCTGTCTTCGACATACATGACCTGTCCATTGAATGTTTTCTCTTTGATGTTTCCGATTATATCTTCCACTTTTGTCTGTTCCCTGACCCACGGCGCCCTCATCCGATCTCTTAGACTAATTCCCAGCATCAACTTCTCCATCCCTCTCTGTGCACTTATTAGTTTCCTCTCCAGTAATTTGGTTGTAGTCCATGTTTTTGATCCAGAGGTCATAACTAGAAGGACTTTTCTTTTTAAACATAATGGCAAGGAACCTCTTAGAATGCTACTATGTCTGCCGAAGGCGCTCCAGCCTAAATGATGCGTCGCTTAATTTCCATTCTAATCAATAATAACCAGTAAAAACCGTGTCTCCTACGCTTTCATACTGCTGTTTAGTGAATATCAGTTTTCCAGAGGCTGACGAGAGCGAGGTCTGTCCGTGGGAAGAGCATTCGGCAGCCACGACCGTTTCCAATCATTCGAGAAAATATCCGTCTATAAAGACTTTTTGTGAATAAATGTTGTTCATTCAGTTATTTAATATTCTAGAGTATTTTCATGTTAATATTCTAGAGTATTTTCATGTTAATATTCTAGAGTATTTTCATGTTAATATTCTAGAGTATTTTCATAAACAATATACATAATCATATTTCTATAAAATAACGTGATGTGTATGAGAATGCTCGTGTGATTCCAGGGACCTCACTCGGGTCTGTTTCCAAGGGCACTATGTTTGATGCCTCGGTAGTGTGATAGAGTCTGTCCATTTGCACATGTCAAGTCCATACGGAAACGCAAAATTTTACGGAAAATGTTGGAGTGTGACAGAGCCTTAATAAAACGCATTCCCAGTTACGTCAGTCACAGGAGAGACACTCACTGCGCACAGTCCGGTGCGTCCTCTTCTATTCACTTTATCTGAACGCTTTTGCATTCCACGGCGATGACATATCACTAACCACTGCAAGCGATCTCGTACAGGACCCTCGTAATTTCACCCAAGGAAGCAAAGTGACCAACCTTCAAGATTATACTTGCGCGGATGCAGTGGACCACAAAAAGATAAACACAGGATCATCACTACGAGTACCTGGCAACTGCTGCTCCTCCCGACCTTCGTCTTGGCCTCGGCTGCGCCTCCCAAACTGTCGTACTCCTCTGCTTTTCACCCACATGCCCGTTCCCTGAGGGTATATGGGACAGGGACATGTCAGGGGGCAGGGGGCAGGGGGCAGGGGGTTGTCATCGTCCGGGCAAGGTAAACTCAATGCCCTTTTCCCTTCGCCAGGCCAGGACTGAACCCCTAAGCACATGAATTAGAAGGCGGTTCTGTTGGTGATGTTCAGTGCATTTCATGCTCACACATTTGTTTACAATCGCCGGATTTTAGTTTCTGTTTTGTTTTGTTTTTGTTTTTGTTTTTTTTTCCAGTGACAGAACTGGAACTAACAGTGAAAAATTGCGTTGTATTACACACAATTATATATATATATACACGCACACGGACACACATGCACACACAGAATGAGAACGAGAGGTAGATCCAAGACTCGATGCTTAGATAATATCAAAGAATTGGCAGAAATGAGCATGATTCAGTTAGTTGGAAAGGCACAGGACCGTCTGATTTGGAGGAGATTTGTTTGGGAGGCCACGATTGGTCAGCCCAGTCATCAGTCCATTTCATGGTGTGTGTGTGTGTGTGTGTGTGTGTGTGTGTGTGTGTGTGTGTGTGTGTGTGTGTGTGTGTGTGTGTAGATAGGTATATAGATATAGATATATAGCGTATTCATGTTAACAAATGTTGAAAAGGTATGATTGAGAATGAATCTCTTCACATTACAAGAGATGTACTTGACTGGTTTCGATTATATCTTCGTCAGAAATACATACATTTCTGACGATATAGATCTTGTAAATGAGTGAAGTTCTCAGAGTACAATATAAAGAAGTATAAATATGACAGTGTTATCAATGAAGATATCCATTCGTAGAATAATCTATTATCTTTTAACACTGCGGAGAATCTAGTGTGAAATCATGGTACAGAAGAAATCTCTAAACATGAAAACCACCCACGTACACTGAAGGCGAGAAGAATACTTCCCATTTATAAAGGTGGAATGAAAGGATTCCCAGAGACAGGTTACGCAAACATCTCATATGACGAAAGTAGATAGCAAGGTTGAAAGAAAGCAGCATTAAGGTCAGACAACACAGAACTCTTTTTCCTTTTCTTTCTTTCTTTATCCTCCCCCCTCCATTTCACTGGATCGCTGTCACAACGTATCTAAACGTACAACTGAAACTCGAAAGGATGGTGTGATAGACCTAGATTTTGGAAGGGCTTTTGAGGAGGCTCACTACCAAAATGATTGCAGAATTAAGGAGGAAAGTAGGAGGAAACTAGAACAGGTGGATACTCATAGTTCCCAATAAGTTCCAAACATAAAAGGTATTGCTAAATAAAGTTTTAGATTTTTCTCAAGTGAATTAGCTGTCAGAAGTGGGGTGCCATGGGGTTCAGTTCTTGGGCCTCTGTCCTTTAATAATCATGACTTAGCGACAAAAGCATAAGCACGTCAGAATAATATCCTTCGTAGGGACGAGGAAAAATGCACCAACGCCTGTGATGGATGGAGAAGACAAGCCATGAGAAGGTTTCGACATTACTTATAATTCCTAAATGATATGGAGTTCATTGCTGCTATATTCGAAATTACAAAGGAAGGTCTGATAATATGTGTGCGGGAGGGATTGAGTGTGTGAGCGTGTACGCGCGTTGGTGTCTCGTGTTCGTGTTTGTTGCTGCATAATAATGTACACGTATATGAGTTAGCGAGCACACAGCCTCTCCCAATCTCTTTACTAAATGATGCAGTTATTTTTATCTAGGAGAAAGTGAAAAGAAAGAAATGCAGATTGAGAGAGAGAGAGAGAGAGAGAGAGAGAGAAGTCCGATATGCGAAGCTGAGCCTCGCCCGGGCTATGGGGGAGCCCGACCTGTGCCGACTAATGTCGACTCGCTAACAGTGTGTCAGCAGGTGCTGACTCGGATGAGCTTAGTCCTTACCCACTGTGGTGCCCAGCCACAGCAGTAACTTCCAGGCGACAATTGCAACTTCTCGCGCCTGGGCAGGGCGCGAACCGCCGACCCCTCGAATGAAAGGCCGGCACGTTACCACTGTACTAGCCCGGAGGTTAGAGAGAGAGAGAGAACGAAAGATAAAAGGGGGGGGGGTGGAGAGACATGCACAAACGTTTTCGTAAACGCTCGTTGCAAGTTCTCATAACTTTCGTTTTTTTTTATCTCCGTCTCTTATGGAGAGTGTGCGTGTATGTACCCCTAGCGTTTCCATCCAACAAAAAAAACAAATGCAAAGATTAAGGAACGATTTCGAAGCTGAAAGATTGAAATATTATAATCAACCCTAAAACCTAAATGCGATGAACACCCGAACGGCAACACTGTGCGACACTAAATGTTTATTTTGTCGCCCCAAAAAAGCCTATGTTCTCACTTCTACATCCAGTCTGTTTCCATTTCTTCGTGCTATACACACACACACATACGTATCCATTTTATTGCATATACGTATTGCTGTAAATATGAAGAAAAGTGGAGAGAAGAGTATTGGCACTGATCCCACACGCTGCGTTGGGTGCAGAGCAGTGGAGACCGTGAAGGTTTTAGTACAGTGGTGTTCCGTTTAGTGAATGATTCTTCTTTTACTTGGCTTGGGAGATGGACGAGGATCACGTATTTTCAGCTGTCTCGTGCCTACGCTTCTAAAACCACGTGCTCTCTGTGTCAAAGAGTGAAAGTGAAGTTGATCAACTGAAGAAAAGATAGAGGCAGCGGCGAAGGTGTGGTGAGTGACGTCATGGCGTTTTTTCTTCTATTGCTGCGTTAGGACTAAGAAACCTTTCGTCCGAGGATTCTATGCTCATACACACACACATATGTGTGTGTGTGTGTGTGTGATATATGTACATATATATATATATATATATATATATATATATATATATATATATATATATATATATATATATATATATGTATATATATATATATATTTTTTTTTTATAAATATATATATATAAATATATATATAAACATATACCCATATATAAATAAATGTGTATATATATAATATATATATGTGTGTGTGTGTGTGTGCGTGCGCGCGTGCGTTCGACCTCACAGTACTAAACCTGAGAAAAAAAAAACATGCTGTATAAACTTGAAATAAAACTAAATCATAAAACCTAAACAAAGAAAAGCACTCGTAATTATAAATGATTACTATCATAAAAAAGCATGACCACAACCAGCTCCTCTACGTGAGGCAAAGATACCCCAGACTTCTTGGGGCTTCGGGCCAGTTTCACTCGGAAAAAATAGGGAGAAAACAAACACCAGGTCTCTTTATACGTCACTTTATACAGATTTACAAATAAAAAAATAATAATAAAATCCTGCCCATATTGATAAAGAATGGGTAATTTAGTTAAAACGAGAAAAATATAAAACACTCACAATACTGAACATGATTAAAATAATAGATAAAAATAATGTTCGTAAAAATGGTCACCTTAATCACTAAACCATTTACATGATTTATATAGAATTGATTAAAACTAGGAAACTAAAAGATAATTAAAACTAGGGCTGCCGACAAAGACCTGCATTTAAAAAGTAAAAAGCAAGCTAATTAAAGTGAAACGAAAACCAAAGAAAATGTACAAATAACGGGCAAACTAAAACAAACAAAAACACGAAAATCAAAGATAGAAACCACTAAGGATACGAGTAAAAGGGGTGGAATCCGGCAGGTGGAAGGAGCCCCGACGGGAAAGTGCATATTGTCCGACCAGACGAGCGCGCGGGGGTAGGGGGGGGGGGGGTGCTCGACGTCCCAAGCGATAACGTCGCGCGTGGTGACTAGTGTGTGTGTGTGTGTGTGTGTGTGTGTGTGTGTGTGTGTGTGTGTGTGTGTGTGTGTGTGTGTGTGTGTGTGTGTGTGTATTAGTTATGGTCGATACTTTTTTCAATATATTACTTTTCGATTACTTTCACCTGGAAATCGATTATACAGTGGTATATTTGTAGATTATAAGGTTTACATATATAATTTTACTGTGCGTGCGTGTGTGCGGGTGTATGCATAGATAATAGGCTTATTATGGCAGTGTTTCTTTTTTATAGGCTGTTTGGTGGGCCTAAAGGTGGACTAACCCCAGATTTCCTATGCTAATTACACACAGGATCTAAACAACAATTATAAATTGAATATCTCAGAATTACGTAACAGACCAAAGGACTCCCCTTTTCAGAGGCTGGGGAGTGTGCGCGGACGGGACTTTTGGCACCGAGGCGTGGACAGGGAGCGACAACAGATCCTTAACAGCCCTAAGAACAGAACTTTAAGATGGCAACACAACAGCAACCCTCCAGGCCAACCCAGCTCACAAGGCACACGGTGAATGGCTTCCGGTACCAAGTAGCTGTGATCACAAAAGGGCGCGCAGTGTTTGTGCAGGTGGTTGAGTGGTTGTACCAAGGGAGGCCGTGTATTAAGAGTTATTTCCTTAGTTTGGGAAACTCGAGAGCAGACTACAAGCGGAAGTTTAACAGTGAACAAAGGGCTCTATTAGAAAGGGGTGCCCCGTTTAAGGAATTTGACATCTCTCTTCTCTACAACATTCTTCAACTTATGTGCGGACTGGCTGGCCCCAGTAACCCTGCTTGGACCTGCCCCCCTTCGGGTCAACCTTTGGAACATCTGCTTCATAAACTAAAACTGATGAGGAACCACATTGCGCACACAAATGATGTCCAGGAGATGTCGGACCAGGAGCTCTTAAAAAAGTTGAGAAAACTCAAATGTTTATTGTCCAGAATCCTCCGACTAGCTGGGAATCGATGCGGAATACATCCCCATATTTTCCGTGATCAGGTTTGGGAAATCAAGCAGTATTTCCAAGGGCTTCTGC